TTTCACCTTATATGTACTGAAAAAAGTGCATGAAATGATATTTAAGTATGCATATGTTTGTCCAATGCCATCAGAGAAAAAAAAAGACACTCTGTTTTTGTAATACTTTACTTAATAGTAAAACCAATAACATTCCAAACTGATGTCACAGATGGATGCAATCTAATTAAAATCAGATGTTCCGAATCCGCTACTGCTTCTCAAACATCTAATAACATCCTATTTGGGGTCATGTAAGAGTGAATCTTCGATTAGCCAAAGAAAATGGTTCCTCCGAAATCTTGGCTTATAGTTCAGATGGGTTTCTTGTTTTCACCACCGAACCAAAACACCCGAGGAGTTTTGTAGTAAACAAAATATGCATTGCAAAAGCTGTGTTATGTATGACGTGTGGGGTATCTTGTATAGTTTGCGCTCTTTCGTTTGCATTATTCACGTTCAGATGCCAGACTGCAGACTATACATGAAATTTATTCCAAAATTACTTTAATTCAACGTAAGACAGTATCAATAATGATGATATGTAGCCGTGGAATTAATTTGAGAATTGTTTACCGAGGCTTGAATCTACATAGCCAAAGTGTTTGTGTTTACTAGTACATGTATTCATAATCGAAAGGTCGCTCTGATGTGACCCTGAATGGGATGTTAGATGTATGAGAAGCGGTAGCGGATTTGGAACATTTAAATAAATTTTAATTAGATTGAAATACATGTTTCAAAATTCAAACATGAGATTTCTTCAGTTTATAAGACAGGACGTGCATTTTTAAAACTTCTCTCTTGGTGGCATCCAATCGTTCTCTGGATGAAAACAATTATGTTGATGTTGAAAATTTAATTGTCTTTCATGCTCTATTGAATCTGAAATTAGGTAATTGTAAAGCCTACTATAGCAAACAACTATTAGTAAAAAAATGACAAGTTAAATTCTTTAGATTAATGGATTTGGAGTAGTGTAGATCTACAGCTGGCTAGTTAGAGAAAAAAGGATCTCTGAGCAGAGACTTTGTAAATGAATTGATATCAGAGAGCTCCAGATGTGTAGGCTCACTGCGGGTGTAACCGGTCAACGAGGGATGCTTACTTCTTCTAGGCAACGGATCCCACCTCTTGAACTTTCAGGAGTCAGTTTTTCTTCTTAAATCGATCATTGATCATTCTGTATTTTGATACAGATACTTCCGTTTAGAAATATTATGAACTACTACTTCTACGGGAAGACTGGCGAGTAAACACGATTATCAAGCTTTATGAAATGTACTTTATTGACTTTTCAAACAAGCGAATGTTTGAATAAAGTAAATGGTATATGAGAATCATTTAAAAGAAGTCTTGCACAATATGTCTAGATAAGGACATATAATGTGTATTTGCCATATACTCTTCATGCAATATTGTTCTCAAATAAAACATGTGAAAAGGAAAGTTGTCTAATCAATCAATACTAGTATTTAAAAATTCAAATGTACACTAAAAGTCAGTGTAACTTAAGAAGTTATCAGTGTCATTTTCTTCAATATGTCGGTTAAACAATATACACTGATTTTTTTTCTATCAATGTGCGTCTAAACACCTGTATTTTAATTTAATTCTTCTCAAACGCTCAAAATAATAATCGACAACTTGGATAAATTCAAATTTAAAAAGTATTTTCACAGCTAATAATACATTCCCTAGGAATTGATCAAATTTTCAAAACTTATAAATAAGCATTAGTATATGTTTTAAATTTTTGCTAATTGCCAAGATTTTTCATACCTCACTCTTCTGTGAATAATAATGTCGGTTGATTTTTAGAAGAGGATCACAATGCCGATTAAGATTAATATATATTTATCCATTTTTTTTTCAAAATTAATTTTACTACTTTAAGTGCCCCATTATTTTTTTTCAAAACTAAAAGTAAGTGATCCCTTATGATCGTTTGTAATATATTATCAAAGACGGGGTAGAGAAGTTGCCCCTGGAAGCAGAGCTTTTATAATCTGTTTATTAGACAGAGAAGAAAAGAGAAGAAAACAAACGTTTCATTGTGGAGGTAATCCTATTGTTTCCATAAAAACGTTACAAAAAGTGTAAACCTTACAGATGTATTCGGTGTTTTTATAACAGCGTTTTTCAGGTATTACTTAACTTAATAAATGGTGTTTCTTAATACTTTGGCAAGGAAAATCAAACTCGATCGAGAGATTTGCTGATGTTTTTGCAGTCTGTAATAACCTTCAACCTGCTGTACATGTATAATTAACCGTATCGTTCAACTTTCAAAAATAAACTAACAGTTGCTATAAATCGCGATCGCACGATGTACATGATTCTCAGTTCTTTGAAGTTATTGTTCTAAGTATTGTCAATGCTTTGGTAAATACATAAATAAGAATTCGATATAATCGTTATAATAGCCACTCTTCATACACAGCATATTGTCAATCTCTCACCAGGGGGCGTATTACGCCAACAGTATACAAATCATAGGAAGCGCAAAGTTTTGGTTGCAGAAGGATAAGGTTACGTGCCATAAAGCGATGTCGATAGGTAGCGCCTTATGGAAGTTTCCGATTTTTTGGAGCCCATGCCATAAAGCGGTTAGCTAGCTAACCGCTTAAAAAGTACAGAAATTGTGAGTGACCAAAGCATAAGTAGTTTATATAAAGTACATTATATTAATGGAAATAACAACATAAGTTAGTTTTTAAACCATGTGATGTTACATGTGAAACACAACTTTTTGATAAGCTTCTTCGAATTCCGGACACAGTTATCATGTACCATTGATTAAGAAATATTATAAGTGGTGATCAGACAAGGAGAATAGATCTAGGGAGTCCCCTTCTCCCTACCTTAAACGACATAAGTGTTCCCATATATTAAAATAATATAGTTAAAAGATACGTTTAGCTGATATGCTTGGCAATCGAAGTAAAATAACTAAAATTTATTATAATTAGCAACATCAACCTCTTACAGTACACTTAATTATGAAAAAAAAATTAATAGAGGGTTATGTAGTCTTAAACTCCAGTTCAAATATATATACACTAGTAATTGTAAATACAAAGTCTCAGGGTTTTACAGATCCTTGGATCAGGGGTACTACATACATTGTACTTGAATAGACATTCCTTGATCCATCTAATCCTGACTTACAATGTCCTTTCTAGGAATGGTAACCAGATGCCAGAGGACAATGGTTGACTTGCATCTGAATAACTGTTGAATAAAAGCGTTTCTTATTTAGAACAGGATGTGTTTGTAAAACACTGAGGCCCCCGTATGGTAGCTTGTAAAATATATAGAGGCCTTAGCAACATCTGCTCAAATACTTTGGTCAGGGTTAATTTTTTGGAATGTATGTCAAACTTCAAGGTCAAGACGTTGTTGGGTCTAAAGGAATGTCTTGTCACAAGGATAATATTACAACAAAAACGTGTTACAATCTTAAAAGTGCATTAGAAGTTTAAAAGTATTCAAGGTCAGAATAATGGAAATTTAAATTCAAAGTGAAATCTAAAGTAATTATTGCAAATTTCGAAGGAGTTACAAATATGGAGATGTAAATCTACAAACGTAAACCTAGTATGAAATGAACGGCCGGGATATACAAGATTTCAATGGAAAGCTGAATCTTGACTGTCTTGGTTGCATTTCATACGGGTGAGATAATTTTCTAGACTTGCGCGGTTTTTGTCAAATTATTAAGATTTTCACATGGCTTAATTTATTTACAGGTTACATTTTTTTTTTATATTGGAACTAATAATGTTTAGAATAATGTTTAGTATATTGTAAGAAATTATTTATTGTAGTCATATTGATTACAAATAGATTGTTTAATTGAATAAAGAGCGGAAAGCTGAATCTTGACTGTCTTGGTTGCATTTCATACAGGTTGGGTAACATCCCACTCCCCAACACATGTTGGCCGCTCAGGTTCGGAAAGGTCCTTTGGAAATAAAATGTCAAGGAAATAGATAATAAACGGATAGTTAAGTTGAATCGACCCGGTACCTCCACAAGCCAAGCGAGTTCAGAAAGAATTATATAAGAAAGATGAAGAGCTAGAATGATTCATCCCGTTACCTCTTCACGAATTCCAGAGAATGAGATCAATCTGTTTATGAATAATTTTACCTCTTCACGAGTTCCAGTGAATGAGATTAACTTGATTATGAAAAGCGAGCAATTAACTTTGTTTATTTTTATGAAAACAACATCATTATTTGAAGCCTAAGTTTGAAGTCCTAACTGTTCACGAGTCATTGCCAATGTCAAAGTTTTAGAAAGTAGGTCGATACCAAGGCTTAGGTCAAAGGGTCAAGGTTGTTGGTATCCAATGGAAGTCGTATCACAAGGATTACATATGGAAGAAAGAAAGCCCTAGCACCCACTGTTCAAAAGATATGATCAAGGTTAAGGTTGGGTACAATTTTGCAAAACTGGGTCAAACTCCAGGGTCAAGGTTAAAGGGTCAAATTTCATGTAACCAGAAAAGGACTTATCACAAGGAATATCCATGTAAAATAAGAAAGCCATAGTCTCAACCAATCAAAAGTTATGGGTATGGTTTAAGTTTTTGCGGATAAGCAGGGTAAAAACTATATAACGACGAATCTTTGATGACGGGGGCATAAAACCAATTTTTCCTACCGCTTTAAAGATTTCGTTAAAAAGAAAGATTTTCGAATTTTTTATTTTCCTGTATTTTTTTCACTTGTAGGTATAGACAGATCTATATTTGTATCAGTTCATGATTTGGGATTACCAAAAACCAGGAACAATATTTTTCTGAGTAAATCTTTTTTTTATCATTTTCTGATAAGATTCAATATTATAGGAAGGACAAACAACAGGATTTAAGATAAACTGGAGTGTTAGCTGTCATTGATTCCGAAAAACTATCTGGTTCTCACAAACTATGTGACAACAGAACAATTTCAACGACTTCATATTTATTCTCTCATAAAAAGGTTGACCAGGATGATACCTGCGATAGATAGGAGGACCAGTCGCTGAACAATGTCGGGTGTGCTCGGGTCTCTCTGTATATTGGCAGCCATTGCAGGCTGTTTGGGTATCGACCTAACCCTACAACCGGGAGGCTTTGGATCAGGTGTTGTTGAGTCGGTAGTCAGTCGCATCAGAGAATCGTGTCTTTTTGCAGACGACAAGCGTTTTCTCCGCCGTCTGGCTTATGTACAGTCGAGAGATGGAACAGACCCCAAAACGTACGGCAGAAGTAACTACCATGGAGGAATATGGCAGGTTAGTCGAACTGATTAACTTTACGCAATCAGCACATTCTTTTAATTGAGCTATGTTTCTTCACTTGAGCTTTGGTGGATAAATCCTTCACTAACATATTTTCTTTCTTGCAGGTAGATGAAAGCAAATTTCGGCAAACACAAACTTCTTCATCTCTGCAAGCTCAGAGAAATATCATTCTGAACAAATTCGGGATTGACTGGAGTAACGTCGCTTGGCAGGATCTACGTAAACCGCTATACTCTGGGATCGCTGCTGCTCTATATACCATCTTACACGGTGGAGTCAGTTGGAGGATTGAGGACCAAGCAAACACATATGAAAACTATTTTCACAGTTTCGGAGGAAACAATTTCACTGTCCAGGCACAGCTTCTTGATCAAGGTGAGATTTTAAGAGGCAGATGCAAGAACAACTTACTTCTGTATACCACTATTCTGTGCTCGTAATCTCAATCGAACACATATTTCTATGGCTTCATTTTTTCAAATACCCTTGCAAAGGGTTAATTAAAAATCTTCACTTTATCTTGAAAGATTTTTCCCACTACTGCACGATGTTTTAAAGATTCTTAATATGATTGTCCTCGTAATCATTTATGTAAACTGTCAAAGACCCCCACCCCCCATAATGTTTCTTTATTAAAGCAATTCTTACCAGTAACTTATAATTTTATTTCAGGTTGCCATGGAAACGAAGCTCTTGAGTTAGTCTTATTAGTGGACAGTTCAAACAGTTTATCACAGGATGACTTCACAAGAGCCAAATTGTTCATGAATCAAATCGTTGATTCTTTTAATATTGCCTCCGATAAAACTCGCGTCTCTGTTGTCACTTACTCCAATAACCCTCATATTGAGTTTTACTTAAATTCATACACATCTAAGTCACCCCTGAAAAGTGCCATACAAAACTTGCCTTTTCGACCTGGATCTACGAACACGGCAGGTGCTCTACAAACGGCGGTGAGTAATGTATTTACAGGCAGTCGACCTAATGCCGCAAAAGTCCTTATTGTGATCACTGATGGACAATCCAACGACATGCTAAACACACAACACGCTGCCGACAACGCCAAGAATAACGGGATAATCATGTTTTCTGTCGGAGTAGGAAGTCGTATAGACCATAGTGAACTCAACTACATGGCAACGACGCCATCTTGTACGCACGTGTTTACCGTGTCTGGGTATGACGAGATCAAAGCACTGAAAGAGGAACTTATTCAAAGTTCATGTCGAGGTAAATTTTGAATTTATTTTTTGTTTAAAAGATTTTTTTCTTGTTTTGAATAGTTGGTTATAATGATTTTTTTCTTTTAGCCCCCGTTTACATCAACAGCACCTTCAGCTGCGTCTTTGAAAAGTGTCCGCCTCTAGCTGTTTTGACCTCAACACCTGGAGTCACAATAGAGGTACGTGCTAGAGTCGGAATTGTATAATTACAGATAAAAATTATCTTTAAACATTCTTCGTGTGCATGTTAAATTCTTCTTTAATCTCTTTAGAATTAGAATTTGTGTATCTCAATATTTTTAAACGATACAGTAATCAAACCGTAGCACTATTAAAAGAAAGGTGTCAAGGCGTTTGAAGTAGGTTATTGTGACCAACTTAAATAAGCACAGTATGCTTCACCAACTTTTATTTGGAAACCCTACTTTTGGCCATAGCAGTATAATTATGCTTTTAGAAATACGGTTTAGGTCAAAAACACATTTTTCTCCAGGTCTTCTATGCGATCTGATTATAAAAGTCTGTTAAATTTGTCAAAAAGCCTTTATTAATACAAAGTGCCATGGTCCTTCTGAAGGGTAGATAAATTAGAATTTTAAGTCAATTGAATCTAGACTTCTTTCCAGTAGAATTCTGAACCAAAACAAAATTGGATTTATGTTACATAAAGTGAAGGTATTTCTTGTCTTTATTGCAGACAAATGTTACGTGTGGCAATGGCAATATTTACACGGCTTTCAACAGTCCTTACCCTGGACCGAGTTACTACCAGACTCTCAATTCCGTCTCTTCCGGAAACCCTACGTCAGTGTTTCATAACGCTTCCGGGGACCAGACGCTGTTTATTAACCTGGTTGACGCCTTAAAGAACCAGATCAGCTCCAGTGCTGGCTGTGTCATCACCATAACGCCCTACCATGGAGACCACACAGATCACAGTAAGCGGATTCATACGCACCAATCGGTATATGTCTTTATTTAAATGAAGTTGATATTATATAACAATTTAATTCATTTTTTTTTCCAATAGCCATGAAATGCTACATCGATGGGATAAAAATCGAATGCCCGGACAATTGTAAAGGTATAAATTTTTTTTAAACTTTATAACCAATGTATTTGAGAGAAAAATTTCATTTCCTCCAGACTCGCTAAAATTCCATTCTGCATTTCCATTTTAGAAAAATGGAATTTCCCAAATCCTTGCACCCCGGAAAATATTGCAGAGGGGCTCCTTCAGTTTGCACATCCCACGGATTCGACGAAATACTTGATGTGTAACCAAATCGGAAAACTTTATATCGTTCAGTGTCCACAATACGAGTCTTATTACCAGTCATGCCAACAATGTGTAGGTAACTTCACCTCCTGTGTCACAGGCAATAAAACCAATGTCGATTCCTCATCAAGTCCGTGCACACTCGCCAATTTACAAGCAGGTAAATTCTTCTTTGTTTATCCTTCTGACAACACCAAGTTCATCCACTGCGACGTCTGGGGCAAGGCCTGGGCCTTAAGTTGTCCAGGGGGAGAGATCTGGGATCAAAGTATATTAACCTGCATTCCTCTCGATTCTGTCGGACAATCGTCGACAAGCTCACCCTCCATCATCAAACCCGGTGTCTCTCATCAATATGGCGGCGATGAAGTGAATGGCTACCTCTGTTGTCCGACCTGTCCTCGTTTTTCCCCTCCTTGCACTCACTCTAAGATAAACTCTGGGAGATTGTTCCATGCGATTGCTGGAGATCGTCACCATTACATCCAATGTGACCTCACAGGACGAATGTATTGTCCAATGAGCTGCGCTCCTGAGGCGGACGGCTCGCTCGATTTCTTCAACTACCAGACGCAGACCTGCGTAGATGGGTCCCTACTTGGTGTGGTCGGATGATGTAAACTTTTAAGGCTGTATCGTGTTTATTTTTACGTAAAAAAATGAGACGCATTTTTGCTGTATCATGTTTATTTTTGATTAAATAAATAAAATGCAGTTTTGCAATGCATTAGTGTTTTGATTAGTAGTGATTAGCATAATTTTTTTCTAGCTCAAAGAAAAGGGAGCAGTGACAGTTTGTATTTTTCTGTACACTTTAACAAGCCTTTTCCCTTTTGATTTTTAACCCAATAAAATGTTTCCAAACTTAACTTTGCTCACTTCAGCAAAATGACAATCCAAAGGAATTGGTTTTGTTAACCTAAGCCACTGGCTTACGTGAGCTTCTCAGAGCTTAATTTGTCCAGTGTCAGTCCATGAACTTTTGACGTTTGAATTCTCCTGAAGATCCATGAGACCAGGTTCAATCAAAACTGGCCGCAAAGTGTGCTTGGTTAAAGGGGACCAAACCCTCATCCAAAGGCAAATACTGTGTAATTGAGAATAAGTAAAAAAAAAAAACATCTTTGAAAAACCTCCTTTTTAAAAATTACAGGGGAGAAAAAACTTCAAAAGAAACCAAAAAATTAGATCGGAAGCATAATGCTTCTTCCTTTTTTTGTCCTTTTATTTGTCTTTTAATATTCGACTTGAACTTCTGCATGGGATCCGTGAAACCAAAAAATCGAGGACTACGACCAAAATATTGTTCTGCTTATAACCTTCTAATCTAAATTAAACATTGGATTAAGGTATTTCCAGCCTCCTAGGTTCTAGGTTTCTTGCAAAAACTGTTATTAATTCAAATTCATACCAAATAGAACAATACGAGGGTCGTTCAATAAGTAATGCAAAATTTCATGTAAAAATAATGAAAGTAGTTAATAATACTGATGTACCAATGTTTATTAACATATGAAACTAGAAGTGATTTATGGTGTTTTGTAATGATTAGAATGAAACATATGGAGATAACGAATAGTATTCCAGATCAGAGGTCCATAAAACAATACAAGATACAACTGTAGGAGCAGAGCAAATACGGACCAAAGGTGGGATCAGGTGAAATGGAGGAGTGAGCATCCCCGCAGTGTGCTCTTTGTCATGATAGGGAAAAAACGGAAAAATCCTTCGTCAATTCAGTGCATAAAATTAATAATGGAATATAACAATAAATATGAATAACGTCAGTCAGCATTTGGCTCAATGATAAATTGTACTTTCTGACATGGTCATTGTATCGACCATAGAACTTACGAAATGTCTTATTCTTGTTTCATCAAACTTGTTTATCAATATTTTACCTCGTTTTAGAAATTGTTCATACGTAGAGAATGCTCTTGCTTATTGAATCAACTGAGATATATAAACTCCGTATGAAGGTGATGAAGGTATATTAATTGCTGCATATCAGCACCTAAGTCGTACAAAGTTTGATACAAGAAAATATTTTATTGCCTATTTAGATTTCCAATACCCACATATGTTACTTATTTAGTGCAGAAAGGTCACACAATGATATACACGCATTATTTACAAGATTTGTTCAATGATAAATAATTTAATTTTGTTTGTATTCTAGTCTCTTATTGGTTGATTTCCAAAAAGAAACGCAAAATATTTCTCAGTAACCTGGTTTGGTATGGGGACACACCCCCTTGACAACCAGCTGAATCACCTGTATCCATGCAATTCCCTCATTTCCAGTCCTTGGGATTCATGGAAAATTTCAGATCTAATAAATGTACCTTTAACTTCAAACAGTAGCTTCGCGGATTATAAAGCGTAAACTGACCAAAACCAGGTTATAATCGAATAATTTGGCCAAGGATTAGAGTCATTCCTTAAATATTATTCAAACGTAGGTAAAAAAAATTATATTTATTGCCATGGCTACATCTGATAAAATATTATAAAGATTAAAGGAACCAAAAACTTAAAATTTAAGTGCAGAATTGTCAACTTAATTGTACCGTAGCTCCGTAAGATGCACACTGACCCTCTATTTTTTCTGCGATTTTGAGTCATACTACAAGGGTACTTATCAAAAATATACTTCTCAAAAAATCCTTATACAACAAATTTCACGAGCGACATACCTTAAAGATGAATTTTGAAGAATTATTGTGGGTAAAAATCATATTACTTTCAGAATTTTTTAATAGACCGATGGAACATTTACGTGTGTATTCTCTAAGCCATTTGTAAGAAAATAGGATACCTAGTTGATTTTTTGTCAGAATTCACAGGCACCTGACTTTACTTATTTTTCTTTTAATAAAAAAAATTATACACATACCTAATAATTATTAGGTATGTGTATAATTTTTTTTTTATTAAAAGAAAAATAAGTAACGTCAGGTGCCTGTGTCAGAATTCTATAAAATGCTATGAGGATAAAATGTTTAGAGTCTTAACAATGTATTTTCGGTTTTCAGATATGGAAAGCCAACGGGTTCAAAATTCCAACTCTGTAATTCTTAAAATGTACACATGCAAATCTGAATTTGTAAATTGTAAATCTTAATTTCATTAATCTGTAAATTGTATTTTTTCACAATTTGTTAGTTGTAACTATTCATGCGTAATTTGACAAGTGTAAAAATGTAAATGCAAGTTTTGCCGATGCTCGCGTCTAATTCGTAGACTTACGATTTGTCAACTTGTGAAATGTAAATTGTACTTTCGTGATTTGTCAATTATGCAAGGTTGCATTATTAAGACGAAAGGGGGCGCTATATGGGTGGCAGGTTTATTCGTTGCTTAACAATTTAATCACTTCATCAATGCGTCCAGCAATGCACCAGACCTGAAGATTATTGACGCGACTGGCCCAGGATAGACAAGAGTGGAAGAAGTTTGTTGCTGCCCTACAAACCACAGGGTGTAAAGAACGACGATGATGATGATTGCTTCCTACCAGACAAAAATATAAAGAAAGGTTGATGAAATGTTTATAAATTAATTTCATATGTATTAACAGGCGTATACTCTAGTAAAAACTCCCAACAATCCTGAATAATTTTCGAGTTTAACATTATTTTTTTTAAAGCATCTTTCTGTAGTGTTACTGGCAGATTCGGTAGGAGGGGGTTGGAGCCGGTTTATAGAGGCCAGGATCGACCCCTCAGATTTTCATTAATGAATTTTATAAAGTAAAACAATCAAGAAATAACCTCAGACTCCCCCCTTTCAGGAGTTATGGACCTCTCGTTAATAAGTAGAAGAGTCATATAAATATTTGAAACAGCTTATCAACAAGAATTGTTCATTATCCCCCCCCCCCCCCCTCCCGGCACACACACACGATTTTTTTTTTTTTGCATTTGGATTAATTTTTTTTAGTGGACATGAAGCTTCCCCCTCATTTTAAAACAATATACTTGTATTGACAGCTAGACCCATTCATGTCTTTGTAAAGTACACATTAGTTTGTATATACGGAAAATTTAAATTAAAAATTATTTGAAGTGATCATATATTAAGTACCTAGTTTTTTTTCTTTTTCTTCCAAACAGATGACTATTTTTGTGTTTATAAATAATCATTAATATATTTTATAATGTTTCGTCAGATTTAAGACTAACACACTACTAGGAAGGGAGGATCCTTCTCTTTGCACCACTCTTTGAGTTTGTATACATTAATCAGATGATTTTATAGAGCCGAAGACATCCCAGACGGTATAGAGCATCTCAGTTTTGTTGGGTTACATATAGTGTATTCCATGCATCCTTATGAAACAAAATGAAGTTCAGAAAAAAGGCTTCCGTGCCTTGGGCCCTACGATCACACAAAAAGAGAACAAGTGAAAAATCTAGTCCTCATGTATGTAGCAACGTTTTTGAAAGGGGCACCGAAAATAATTGACAATTTTATCTTGAAAACCCTGGGGGAGGGTGTAGTATATGGTTCTTACTTCTTCACAAGATAATTCGATCCATAATTATAATGGGTTTTGATACTAAATTACAGTAAAACATGTTCGAGAAAAATCGGGAAGGGGGAGCCCCCCCCCTCCTATACAACGTGCCAAGTCTTTACGCTCCTTTATAATACTGAAAAAAAAACTTTCGGGTGTTATTCCCTCAGCACCTCTCCGTGTGCTGATTTAGAGGGGGGTTTGGGAATCCGGACCCCATCCCCCAAAATATTCAGTTATTAATTGTATAAACTGAAGCACATAGAAATGACTTTGAACCCCCCCCCCCCACACACACACACACGCAAACCACAACCACCAACACGAAATAAGTTATTATTATTTTTTTTCGAAGAATTTTTGGCTTGGAATATTTTGACTGAGATGCACCTCGTCCCCCTTTGGAAAAAATTCCCGAGATCCGCGCCTGCCTTCTGTACTGGTATATACGAGAAAAGTTATGTGTGTTTAGATCCCCGATCTTTTCCGTATTAAGCTTAAATCTTATTTGTAAACAGCTTAGGAGACTACTAACTTGAAGGCATGATATGCATGCAAACCACAAAACTCAGTTGGTTAAGGATCTTTTTAGCTTTGGAGCGAAATGACTTGCCACCCTTATAGCGCCCTCTTTCGTCTTAATATGCAACCTTGCATAATTTACAAATCACGAAAGTACATTTCATAAGTTGACAAATCGCAAGTCTACGAATTACACGTGATCATTGACATAACTTGCATTTACATTTTTACACTTTTCAATTTATGTTGGATAATTTACAATTAACAAATTGTGAAAGACCATATTTGACAAATTATGAAATTAAGATTTACAATTTACAAATTCAGGTTTACAAGTGTACATTTTAAGAATTACAGAGTTGGAATTTTGAACCCGTTGGCTTTCCATAATCACACACCATCGATATTTTGTGGTGCACACAAATTTCAATCGACAAGATTATAACTTATACTTTAATTCTCTCTCCCTTCCACTTTCTCTCTCGAATTATTGAATTAATCTGAAAACTATACAGCGTAGGACGCAAGCTTCACTTCAAGTCGTAGCGGCTAACCCAGCAGCTAGGTGTTAGATATCTATCTCTAATGAACGGACAGGACCTAGCCGCTAAGTGTTGAAGTTTGGATAAAAATATATCAATAAAAACTTATTTTTGGGACAATAAAAAGTTTATTTCAAGCGCAAATATATATGTAAATTTACATTTAATTCACTAAGGTGTAGAAACTAGCCGTCCTTTTTGTTCAATCCTTATGTACTGCGAACTTGTAACTAAGGAGGCCAACTTGGATTTGGGACTTAGCACTAAATATACCTACGTAGTGGCTAGGCTAGCTCTCCGTTCAAGAGCGTAGCTTTGCATAGCGGCTACGTAGCAGCTACGCTGTTGAACGCACGAACAAAGTGAAAGCCTTTGAATTCATTGTGACGTCATAAACTTCGGTGATTTGACGCTAAATTTTATGTTCGTTTACCCAGTTGTCAAGACATTCGCCCCTGACGAAGAAATGAGTTTATCTTCATTCGATAAGATACAGGAAGGACAGAAAATTTTGCAGGCTACATCTGGTGATTCAGCCAATCTGGATGTCAGACAGAGAGAATAATCAACTGGACAAAGATATTTCACTCAATTTTTCTCCATCGCCAGAAAATTTTTCCCAGCAGTCGTGCAAATTTTGTCATCAGTATCACAAACTTCCTGAAAATTTGAAAAGGAAGTTCGAAAACCAGTGCGACGAAAAATGTTTTAATCAACTAAATTCTCGGTGGATTAAGTTGACGAAAAATGAAGTACACCATGAAAACGTCGAATTTAGCGTTATTTATCGGGTAATTCAGGCTATAAACGACTTAATATTGAAACAAATTGAGAAGGCCTTACAATTTGACTGCACATTGAAAGACTCTAAATTACATGAGGAAATAACATTCACACCAACAAAAACAACGCAGATTAAACGAACAGAACCGATCCAGAAGGGGAAGTTTACAGAAGAGGACCACTTTGATGAACAGAAGTCGTCAGGAAGTGAGAGCTTTAAGGATAAGGGATTCACAAGAAAAGCACGGAGAGAATATTCGAGGAGAAGGGGAGATGAAAGTGGTGTTAGGGATGTTAGGGATCAGACCAAGCCGAGCCTGGAGGTGAGCCACACGGTCACCGAGTCCCACCAGCTACTGCACGTCAAGACAATCATTGGACTGCTCCATTCTATTATTGACATCATTCTCTTTACCATGTCAGGCTCACTTGTCTTTGACCTGAATGACGCGGATATTTGGAAAGGTTTGTTTTAATTAAGTTTTATAAGCAAACGGAAATTTTCTGTCAAATTAACGATGTGAATTTTAATATTCTCTGGTTAATTTCGAAACATACTAGTATTAGTTATTGTCTGATTGAGAAAGTCGTTGTATCATTAATTAATTAATATGCAGTATAGATATTGATGCCTGCATAACGATAAGATCTTCATAGTTTTTAATGTAAACTTTATAATCACAACTTCCATGTTTTCCTTCCTTGAATGTTTTCTATTGACCATATTGACAGACTCATGAAAAGTTTTCAACGTTTTATTATTTGAGGTGCCGTTTGTGACGTCACAATCGCCTTTTCACGCGCACTTACTCTGTGTTGATCCGATGAATTTCGAGACTAATATTAATAAGTAGGCCGAGTCTAATGATTTCTACGCCTTCAGCGTTTATGCAAATTATCACGCAAGCCAATTGATTGATCACATCATGAAATCGGAATATAAGACAGTTATTCCTTAATAAATCATGAATCAAGTAGACTTACTGTTTGTTTAATATTAATCATATTTAGAATAATTGTTTGTTTCTAAATATATGTTTTTATTATACCTCTATTGATAATACTCGAATTTGATTGGCTGGTAAGAAAACTTTAAAACACAACAATGACCCCAAATGGTACGACTTGCAGACGTCAACGTAAACAACTTCACTATCCGGTCTGTAGCGAATCCCGATCCCGATCAAAGGAAGAATTGACAACGGTTAGAGATTCATACTTTTCGATATATATCGGTATAATAAAACAATTAATTACCCCTTGTGAGTTCAACATGGTGAAATAAGGACCCTCGACCTGGCCCACTCGATGACCTGACCTGACCTCGGCCGCTACGCGGCCTCGGTCAGGTCAGGTCACCTCGTGGGCCAGGTCTCGCTATTTCACCATGTTGATCTCAGAAGGGGTAATTAATTGTATAATATTTTCATTTAGGTTTTACAAATAGATGCAAAGAACTAGAGTCTCAGCTTGGAATTCTAACAAACAATTTTTTGGAAAAGAAAATCTCGGAAAAAATGGCGAGAAAAAAGAAACGTGAAGAGGACGTGCTGGGATTGATAGAATCGCTGGAAAATCGTCCGGTTTGTGTTCCTTCTGGATTGTACATTTATATTGATACTAGGCCTATTGGGGGGGGGGGGGGGTCAAGCGGCAGAACTAAAGTTTTGACATATTATATTTTTCTTTTGCCACTCAACTGGATTTTTCCGCGATTACGTGTGTCAATTTTTCAGAAAATAATGCATTAAAAATGAATTATTTTAATCAAAATAACCATAAACGGCCGGAAGGACAAAACGACACTTTTCAAGGAAATCGTGTATTTATAAATATAATATAGAATTATCCCTCTTAGCACATGATCAAGTTGTAAAGGCTTTATGGCTAATATAATTAGTAGGGCGAGGGTGTTTTACACGTTTTCAGTCTTGCAGCATTTTTTCCATTTCAACAGAGCATTATAAAAAGACAGCAATAAAATAATTATAATAACATCTATTAAGTCGATACATTTTCAATTAAAAATATCCAGACACATTTCATCTTTCTTACGAAGACTCATTTACAGACAAAAGATCGTATGTATACGCTAAGACATGCCAGACAAATGCCGAAAACTGTATTGTATTTTGAAATACGGGAAGGGAGGAGGGGGAAATATTCAACTTACCTGAAAAAGGGAAAATTATCCTAACTCGAAAATCCAACCTATATGGGAGCGGGGACCGACTTTTCAATAAATATTTTTAAAAATAGATATAGAAAAAAAGTGAAGTAGAACATGCCTACCCCCCAACTTATGCTACGTGTTGTATCCTGTTTTTGTAAACGTACGTTATATAAAAATTGTTTCGGTGTTTCATCAACTGTTATGTTATTTGCACGTCATTCAATGTTAGATTACTAGAGTCACCAGACACCAATTTATGAGTTTATCATCGTTGTTTTTTCTTCAGACCCGCTCTAAAGTGAAGCGACTCCACAAAGCCACACAGATCCTGGTGGAAAATGAGCGACAGATTGGACTGATCCAGGGGGAGATAATCTTTATCAAGGACATCACACTTATCTCCCAGTCTCTCCGAGACCTCTTCACTTTCATGGAGGGCGAGTTATCCAGGTACGTCCCCTTACAAATACGAATTCGGAAAGAATCCTCCTTATAAATACGGACCCGGAAAAGACAGATGAGAGGAAGGTTCACAAAATCTAAAGATAAAAATTTAATCTAAAATGTACATGAAAGGTACATCATACATGTAGTAAAACAAGAGGGAAAATTTATTGGGATAATGGTTAGGAAGATCCAATTTCTCTTTGTTGAAATTCAACTTTTCTTGTGAACTCAGCAATGCAAAGCTCTGAGAGTAAATTTTGGGGATGTTATTTGCAAAATTAAGTAAATTAATACATTGATGTGCGGTCATGCTTTCCCAAAAGAAAGCAGGAACATCTTGTTTCGTCACAATTGACTCCTTGTCTTTTGACACAAACTGATTAATTTCTAACTTCTTCTTCAAGAGAAAAATTACCCCTCTTCAATCCTGTTATCGCGGTATAAGCTGTTTTATTTCTTTGATTCAATGTCACATATAAGCATCCAAAATCAAGAATAAACATGTAGGAAATCTGATCAAAAATGAAAATTTAGTTTTGCCCTGTCTGTCCGTCTGTCTGTCCACAAAAATTTAAATTTTGCCTACAAATTTTGAGGTACCACCAAATCTGACCTCTTTACTTTGACCTTGGAGTTTGACTCCCCTTTTACCAAAAATTCCCAATCTTTATCCTTGGCTTGTATACTTCAATGTGTATTCATTGTAACAAGATCTTCCAAGGGGGTATAAATATTTTGGACTTTGAACTATGAGTTTGATCACTTTAAAAAAGAATTAACGTTGGTATAAATTTTGAACAGTTAGTACTAGGGCTTTTATATTTCACAGGTGTGTTTCTTGTGACAAAACATTCCTTTGGATAATAATTTTGACCCATTGACCTTGGAGTTTAGGTTGTATTTTCAACCCTCGCTGTAAGCTGCCATACGGGGGCATCAGTGTTTCACGAACACATCTTGTTTCCTATAAAAAGAGAAAATATTAGATGAATTATTAAATCCAGCTAGTAAAAGTATTGAAGGTTGAATATTAAACGAAATTATTCAAGACATTCACAATGGAAAGTACAAGCGTGTAGAGTATGAAATGAGATGTAAATGGATACCTGTAATTAATACTCAGCATGGTTTTGTAGGAGTGGAAGAAGAGTTTCTAAACATAGGGCCATTAAAGGTGAAAAAGATGAGAGAAGGGTGGCTATGGAAGTAAAAGATGACGCCGACAAGAGTCGGGCTATAGCAACGGAAAAGTCAGGAATGTCAGAAAAGCCGGGGCCCAGTGGAGAGAAAAAGATTGGAGAAGAAAAAGTTGGTCAAGCTGAAGGGACATCAAAAGATGCAAAATTATTAAAGAAAGATGCTGGCGAAGGGAAAGCAAGGGAGGAAAAACCGTCTGAAAAGGGTGGAAAGGGGGCATCCGGGGGAGTGGATGACGTCAAAGATCAGGTGGTCAAAGCCTTACAGGGGAAAGTGGGAGAGCTGGGTGACCAGTTAGGAGGGCACGTCAAGCAGATCGGGGGACAAGTCTTCCAGGGTCTGCTCCAGAAAGCCAAGGACATGACCAATCTAAATATCAACAACGGGACAACCGACACGACCGATGGTTCCTCCGAGAATCTGTACGTGGATTCCACGTGTTACGTCGTCCACAGTGTTTCTAACGACTCAGATGACAGTGGTAGTCCAGTGCCGGCGGGAAACTCACGAATCCTCCATTTAATGAGAAGCATGAGAAGATCCTGTAGACCTAGGTTGAATGAGGAGAGACGTTCGCCATACACACGAAGAGTGGATCAAGACGGCGACAGTCAATCTACGAAAACCTCCTCAGAGTCTGAATCGTATTCAGATCAGCGGGACATCAAGCCATCCAAAGAATCAGATTCTGAAGATACGGGGACTTTTGTAAAACCACGTGTAGGCAAACCACTTCGACGCCATGCTGAAGTTTCCTATTCTGTCACAGATGCCGAGAACACAGGGGAAACTACTAAAATTAGTGAACCGAAGTTATCTCCCTGTATAAAGAAAGGAACCCGAGTAAAAAGTACAAAATATTTAGATGAGAGTGAAGTTTCTTCTTCTGATACCAAGGTTTTGGACTCCGAAAACATAGATGTTACAGAATCTAGCTCAAATATTTCACCACGTCTTAAAAAGGGAAAACAAAGATTGAGATGGTGGAGGAACAATGACACAAAAGACTATGAGAGTGATACTTCGCCGTCCTATGAATACCATAGTCGTCCAAAAGCAGGAGGTCAGAAAATAGATATAGGCGGCCCTAAGTTATCACTTAGAATAGGAGATGTTGGGGTCAAATTTTCGCCTGAAGGACGACTGTTACCTCGTGAGCAACAAGAAAGCAGCACAAGCGATGAAACAAATAATCGAGTAGCTTCTACGTCTAATGATGAAGAAATAAGAGGTGTTTCTGTTCAGAAAAGGACTAAGAGATCAAAGGGTCAAGACCTTGGGGACGTGACCCCTGAACGTGCTGCCGCTGGAAGTGGAATGTTCTCTCGCCTAAAAAAGCTGTCATTTTACGAGAAACCGGAGATTGAAAACAAAATGGTATTTGTGGAGGAAGGTGATGATTCAAGCTTGAGTGATGATGAGGCGATTGTGTCTGGTTCCGATGACGTCATCGAGTTTGTGACGTCCTCTCGGAGTAGCGAATCAGACGCAAAGAAATCGCAGTCAGATACCAGTGTTTACACAAAACCAGCGTTCTATGATAAATCGGTTGGATCAGAAAATAAGGAGACTGTGTCGGAATCCACTCAAGTAATCCTCGAGGAACCCATTGTTAACCGTGTTAAGAGAATTGCAGAAAAGACCGCCAAATATACATTTTCAGCTATTTCTATCGGTTTGGGTTCCTGGTCAATTCGCTATTCGTATAAATGTTACACTGAGTGCAGGGTTGACTGTTTTGATATGTCAATGTATGAGAAATTATTGGAACTAAGACATGTATGAATTTAGTTTGAACATGTATGATTTTGAGCACTATAGAACATAACAGGTCAGATCTATTATTGAATTCACTCAGGCCTGTAGAAAGTAAAGAAGACGAGACGGTCTGAATGATCTGGTAGTAACCTGGAGTCATCTGGGTCAGGTCATGATTTAGATCTGTAGTTAACTATTAAAGGGAAAAGCAGTCATTACATGGACAATGATTTTATGTGTATGAATTAAATTCAAACATAGAACATGAGTACATCTTGAGTTCAGACTCAAATTTTCCTAAGTATTGAAAAGGGAATTCGTTCAAATGGTGTAATTTTATTCACTCAAATTTCCATAAGTGCATGATAACTCAAAGATACATTGCTTTTAATTCAATGTACATTACTTCATGTTAAACTTGAGACTTTAAACCATTCAGATTTTTTTGTCTTCTTGTGTAACTGCTTATCAGTAAAAATAACAAATTGAAATCATTGTGTTAATTCATTAGTTATTATTTGTTGAAATTTATTTGTTTAATTAATCTGCATTTTACCCATGTTTTACTTGATTTTCTCTTTAACATACATCGATTGAAGGCACACACAAAATTAACACCATTTAAATTCAAGAAATTTTAAAGAACAGAGCAACTTCACAGTGCTTGTATCATGCATGCAAATAAATAAGAAGCATTTTAAAAATATTTTGTACATGAAAAATATGTACTGCGTATATCAATTTTCAGAAGCGTACGCAATTCTCCTAGAGTCTCTTGCTTTTAAATGAGTTTAGAAATATGTTTGAAATGTTAAAAATGGTGAAACAAAAACATTAGGTCCATTAAAAGAGAAATCTTAATATTGGTATCCTTAGCAAGACAATGACCTGGGTTTTGTTCGTTTATTCTTGAATTTAAAGGCAGCGGAGTTTGGCGCGAAACCAGCCTAGGTAATAATGCAGCCATTTAAAGTGTTTATGTATAAGTTTGGCTTTGTTTACTTATTGAATAAAACCTTGACTGGATTACACACGCTGTGATCGATATATTGATTCTCTCATGCCTGGTATCCATTTAAAATGGTGTAAAGAAGCGGAGCACCTACAAGACAACGGTAAGTGTGGGCGTTCTATGAAGTAACTTTTTCATCATAACTTTCGAAATCTTCGAATGCAGGGAAAGAATGGCTGGTTTAATTTTATTATCCAGTGCAGTTATAACTGTAATCTACTACAGCACTGATTGGATTATATATTAAAATTTAATCGCAAAAAAATATTCACAATTAAAAACCTGAAAGGTTTGACTCAGCGTTTAAAAAGGAGAATGATCAATAAGTAAATTGAGATCCATGCTAAAAAAGTATCCAATATGTTAAAAAATTGCACATTGTCCATATAAAAAACTTGAAGGGTTTTTACAGCAGTTGCATGAACTGCGATATGAGAAAATTCGGGCAGCATTATGGCAGAGCTAGATGTTGCTACTCGACGACGTCAGGTCGAGATTCTGCAGTGTATGGTTTCCCAAGACGAAGACGAAATCATATGGAAGTTGTCAGCTAATAAAGACATCATGAAACAGAATATTGGATTCGGTAATTATCGCTTTCGGTGAAAGTTGCACGAATGCTTGTTACTAAGCACCTGTAAATTTTCAATGAAACTTCGATATCGTTTGTAGTCTTTCTGTCACAAATTCTAAAACGTTTGACTGTCTCTTGTAATACATTTATTTCTTCCATCTTCTCTTCAGATTACGAGAGTCGTAACAGGATGTGCATCTGTGGACAGATGTTTGAGAAATTACGTCATAATAACCACGTGTTTCATGTGGAGAAGATGTCGGTGTGGGTGTTGGAGGGGCGCTGTCCACACGTGGAACAGACGGCAGAGTCCACCCCACAGCACGCATCTACAACATTCCTCCTCTCTGCCTGCGCGCTGGGAAAGTTAAGAGTGATTAAATTTTTAGTTCATGAACACGATTGTACTTTGAATGAACCTACACGAGCAACACTCTTTGCTCCAATACATTTTGCAATCTACAACAAAGACGTCGAACTGTTTAAATTCCTTACATCGAAGAAAGTTAATATAAACGTTTGCTGCAGGGGAGAAGAGAGATACTCGGCTTTAATGCTAGCTGTACTAGAGAATGCAGAAGAAATAGTACAGATGCTACTGAAAATGGAATCGCTGCAAAAGAACTTTGTTAACTCGTACCAGAAAGGAGCTCTGTGTTGTGCAGTAGAAATGAACAATAAGAGAATGGTCCAACTGTTGACTGATAATGGTGTCATGGCTACCCCAGGTACTCTTTATCGGGCAGATATTTATGGCGATGACGACATCACAGAGCGTATACTGCAGACACGAGAGGCCGACTTTTATACTCCACAGCAGCAACATACCCTTATCTACTCTGCTGTTGTGAAAGGTAGGAGCATAAAGCCTTGTTATTAACTCGCAACGGAGTTGGAAGGGATAAAGTAACCTGCTATGTTATATCTTTGTGTAGGTGGATGGGTTAGTTTGTCGTGTGTAAAGGGAGATAAGTAATTTGCATCTAGATCGATATCGAATTCTGTCTTGATTCATATTATGATATACACTTTGCTTTGCGTGAACTATAAAAGATAGCTATTTTACCTTCTGAACTTTATATAGGAAACATTTTAACAGAAGTACAATAATTACTAGTATTATTCTCTCCTGCAAGGGAATTCTCCGCTCTGCGATGCCCTTGTTTTGTATATTCTTCATTAATAGTTTTGACATAGTTACCCGTTGTCTTCTCTTGAAACACAATCTGTACTGAATTTCTACTGCGACACTTTCGAATATGAAATCTTTTCTCCATAAATTATCTTTATTTTCGTTTTAGGTAAAGCGACATCTCTGAACTTGCTTTTACAATATGGCTTCCAACTGAACCACCGCCCGGATTATCTCTGTCCAGTGGAAGAAGATCCATTATTCCACGCCACCTTACAAAATAATCCCGAAATGATTAACATTCTATTAGCGCATAAAGCAGACATCAGCAGAAAAATATATGGCACCACCTCTTATGATTTAGCTAGAATATTAGATTTAAAGGAGGTGTGTGTGATCTTAGAAAATGAATTGCACAGAAGATGTCTTCCCGTTAAATCCGAACTTCAGAATAATGCTAGTCCCTATATGACCATATTAACTCTAGCAGGAGTAAACAAGAAAGAATTTGTCTCTAAGCTTGTTTCTAAAGGTCTTGATATCAATGCCAATGATGATGGCGGGTTTACCCCTTTGCATGAATCCATAAATCATGAAGACGAAGCCATGGTGAAGCACTTGCTGCGGTGTGGCGCGGATCCTAACCGACAAAGCGCTGAACCAGGTTATATGACGCCTCTTCACATCGCCATTATAAAAGGCAATCTCAATCTAGTTAAAATGCTGCTGAGTTTGAATGTGAAGATGGAGGTGGTTCGTCCAGTCCTCGTCTTGTGGGGAACAGATACGTACTACACCGATTGGATCGTGGACCCCAAACTGATGCCGCGTCACCGCTCTTCTCTGTGTGACGCCGTCTGTAGGAATTTCGTAACCATCGCTCTCTTTCTGTTGGATGCTGGCAATAGTATAGCCGAAGAAGACCCAGAGAGTGTTAAATTTATGATCAAATATACGCGAAGTGACGTCATTCGCAGACGACTATTGGATCATATGCAGACTCCTCGAAATTTGGGTGAGCTGTGTAGGAATTACCTCAGACGAATGCATAGGAATGATATACAAGAGTTTGTGGCGTCTCAAGAACTTCCCCAATCTCTGAAACAGTCGTTACTGCTGCAAGACGATATCGAGCCTTCCCTGTTTGTCCAAAGAAATAAACAATGTACCTTCTAGAAACATAGGGAGATATCTAATGATAGGGTACCATAAGATATTTTGTAAAAAATAAATTGAAGAAAGCTGTTCTTTTAATAAATGTTAAAAATGCTAAAAAAAAAATTAAACGGATAATAATATAATAATACACAAAACAGTATTTTTAAAATTTAAATTCCTTTTACAATAAAATGAATCTTGCAGAATGCTATATCGTGAGCACAAGATATTCTCTGATTTCATTATACTAGTAACTGTTATAAAAGCGTTCGAGACATATATATAATGGCATGTTTTGCGCATTTTTTGTTTCCGGACAGTTGTTTACAGGAAGGTGCATTACCGTGTTAACCGATGACATTCCATAATGAATAAAAATCGTCATCCATAAAGATATTAAAATTATTTAATGGCACCTGCCGAAAAAAACATATCGATGCCCGATGCTTTAAAATAATAAAAGGGTTTAGAGATACTCAGATATTGAGCATCCATGTAGACAGAGAATTCCATTATTATAAGGGTTGAACCAAACGGCCTGCGGGTCTTCATTCCTTCTGACAGTTATCAGTATAGTTCGTTTTCTTTAAAGAATAATTTTATTTTTATAATGCGTTCTTTGCTTGTTTGTTTTTTCCCCGTCCATCTTAATGATTTTACACCAAATGTTATAGAGTCTGCCAGTGGAGAACTATAGGGTAAGATATACTCTGCATTCGAGGCCACGGAAGAAGTAGAAATATTTTCCGTGCCTGCACCTACTACTACATGAAGCCTCGGTTTATCCTAGTAACTGTATAGTCTCATTCAAAAGACCAGTCTCCACGATACGCAGTAGGATTATGTCTAACTCAAATTGAAGAGTTTCGTATCAGGTTTGACTTATGTCAGCTGTAATTCACCAAGATCAGTTTGGTTCAGTGTGTATCAGGTCTGGCTTATGTCAGCTGTAATTCATCAAGATCAGTTTAGTTAAGTCTGCATCAGGTCTGACTTATGTCAGCTGTAATTCACCAAGATCAGTTTATTTTAGTGTGTATCAGGTCTGGCATACATCAGCTGTAATTCATCAAGATCAGTTTAGTTAAGTCTGTATCAGGTCTGGTTTATGTCAGCTGTAATTCACCAAGATTACTTTGGTTCAGTGTGTATCAGGTCTGGCGTATGTCAGCTGTAATTCACCAAGATTACTTTGGTTCAGTGTGTATCAGGTCTGGCGTATGTCAGCTGTAATTCACCAAGATTACTTTGCTTCAGTCTGTATCAGATTTCGCTTATGACAGGTTTAGACATAATCAGGTCTGGTTTATGTCAGCTGTAATTCATCAAGATCAGTTTGATTAAGTGTGTATTAGGTCTGGTTTATGTCAGCTGTAATTCACCAAGATCAGTTTGGTTCAGTGTGTATCAGGTCTGGTTTATGTCAGCTGTAATTCACAAGATCAGTTTGGTTCAGTGTGTATCAGGTCTGGCTTATGTCGTCTGTAATTCACCAAAATCAGTTTGGTTCAGTGTGTATCAGGTCTGGCGTATGTCAGCTGTAATTCACCAAGATTACTTTGCTTCAGTCTGTATCAGATTTCGCTTATGACAGGTTTAGACATAATCAGGTCTGGTTTATGTCAGCTGTAATTCATCAAGATCAGTTTGATTAAGTGTGTATTAGGTCTGGTTTATGTCAGCTGTAATTCACCAAGATCAGTTTATTTTAGTGTGTATCAGGTCTGGTTTATGTCAGCTGTAATTCACAAGATCAGTTTGGTTCAGTGTGTATCAGGTCTGGCTTATGTCGGCTGTAATTCACTAAGATCAGCTAGAGTGCTCCAGTTCATATATGTTAAACATCAAGCTCAGTTAGATTACAGTTTCTGTCAGATCTTTGAGAGCTTGTCTCCATCATTTCCTGGCACAGTTGCAGAGACAATCTTTATCTAAGACAGACATTTTCTGTATAGTACATCAATGTTTCTAGGTCTTGTCTACCAATAATTATCAGTGGCTAAATGGGACAATTTTTATCCACCAGTCTCTAGAGCTTGCCGGAATTACAAGTCTTAGATTTTGTTTGTTTGTTGTTTTACGTCCCTCTCGAGAATTTTTTTACTTTGATGAAGACGCCACCAATTGCCGATTTAGGACTGCAAAGAGGTAGAGCCACTTTGGGCCTTATTTGGCCCTGAGAATTTCTGAAAATTCAAAACTGCTCAGTTTAGGTTGCAAATGCAGTATTTATCACTTGGACTGTTGGTGACCACGTATCTATTAATTGTGATGTAATTTCACATCTAGTCAATGCATTATGACGTCATAAAATGCGTCATTTTCCTCATATCCTGTAAATTCCTTTGAAAATGACCTAAAGTTGAAGCATTTTTTCAATATTTCATATAGAGCACAACCTCTGATCCAAAATATGCCAATACAAAATGAAAGGCCTATTTCTGAAGATCAAAAACATGTTTTATTTTTTGGATCGTGGGCTGTGCTCATATTTTAATTCTTTGCTCAAGGTAGTCAAATAAGCATATTTTCTGCAAATTTCAAGAACATTGCAATTTCTCAAAGCCTGTTTTCAAATATTTAGATTCTCAAAACGAAATTTAATAACAGAACATGAAAGCACCAAGTGTCTACTTTTTTTTGATACATGAAAATGGAAAGAGGGTGATAGTTAATTAATTGATATAAGTACAGGGGCATTTTATGCATAAGATGGCTCTTGCTCTTTATTCCTATGCTCGGCACTCAGGGACCATTGAGCAGTGAGGGGTCTTTTTCGTGCCAACAGCTACTGCGACACGGGACGTCAATTTATACGGTCTGATTCCACCGACCAGTCTCCACGGCAAGCAGTGGACGTGCTGATATTAGGCCTTTTTTTACACATTGAGTTGTCTACGAATTTTTTCGGGTTTTTTCCCCAAACATGCAAAGGCGCATACGGGTGTGACCGGTTAGCAGGTAATGCTTATTCCTCCATGGCACTTGATACCACCTTTGATGTTTTGGAGGTCCATGTATGCTCTGCCCGTATTTTCTAATGTTAAATGAACTTTTGAGCTCGAATACTGTTTGTTGCCTCCATATAATTATTGTCCCCCGCTTTCGCGAAAGTGAGGGGACATTAAATCTCATTCGTCTGTCCGTCCGTCCGTCTGTCTGTCCGTCTGTCCGTCAGTCTGTCCGTCCGTCACAAAAACTTTAACCTTGCCCATAACTTTTGATTTAGTGGAGCCATGACTTCCATATTTCATATGTGAATTCCTTGTGACAAGACCTTTCTTTGGGTACCACCAAATTTGACCTTTTGACCTTGACCTCGGAGTTTGACCCACTCTTACATGAAAATTTTAAACTTTTACTTTGGCCATATCTTTAGAACAGTAGATACCAGGACATTTATACTTCACATATGTCATCTTTGTTAAAAGACCTTTCATCGGTTACCAATAACCTTGACCCTTTGACCTTTACCTTGTAGATTTCTGTACTTGTGAAAAAACTTTAACCTTGGCCATAACTTTTGAATATTTAGGAACAGGGCTTTCATACTTCATATATGTAATCCTTGTGAGAAGACCTTTCATTGGATACCAAGAACATTGGACCCTTTGTCCTTGACCTTTGAGATTGACCTACTTTAAATAAGAAAACCTTGATAATAACTTTTAAAGGGTTAGGGCTAGTGCTTTCATACTTTACATATTTAATCCTTGTGACAAGACCTTTCATTTTATAACAAGAACTTTGATCCTTTGACCTTGATCTTGAAGTTTGACCTACTTTAAAAAAAAAAAAAGAACCTTGGCCATAACTTCTGAACTTTTAGGGCTAGGGCTTTCATGCTCTACATAAATATCCTATGTGGCAAGACCTTTCATTTGATACCAAATTACCTTGACCTTTTGACCTTGACCTTGGAGATTTTTGTACTTATTGAAAAAAAACTTCAACATTGGCTTAGATTCAAATTTCACAATTGTTTTCCAGTGAGAATATCCTACTTTTGGTACCAATTAATTAAATTTGCATTTAAGAAAAGTTTAATCTTTGATATGTTGCCATACAGGGGCGTCAGTGTTTCACAAACACATCTTGTTTACATTTGTATTTCTTGTGAAAAAGCCTTACTTTAGGTACCAACATATTTGATCTGAATTTGAGAAAACTTAACCTTCGCTATGTTGCCATACGGGGCCATCTCTTTTTCACAAAGTCAATTTATACGGTCTGATTCCACCGACCAGTCTCCACGGCAAGCAGTGGACGTGCTGATATTAGGCCTTTTTTTACACATTGAGTTGTCTACGAATTTTTTCGGGTTTTTTCCCCAAACATGCAAAGGCGCATACGGGTGTGACCGGTTAGCAGGTAATGCTTATTCCTCCATGGCACTTGATACCACCTTTGATGTTTTGGAGGTCCATGTATGCTCTGCCCGTATTTTCTAATGTTAAATGAACTTTTGAGCTCGAATACTGTTTGTTGCCTCCATATAATTATTGTCCCCCGCTTTCGCGAAAGTGAGGGGACATTAAATCTCATTCGTCTGTCCGTCCGTCACAAAAACTTTAACCTTGCCCATAACTTTTGATTTAGTGGAGCCATGACTTCCATATTTCATATGTGTATTCCTTGTGACAAGACCTTTCTTTGGGTACCACCAAATTTGACCTTTTGACCTTGACCTTGGAGTTTGACCCACTTTTACACAAAAATTCCAATCTTTTACTTTGGCCATAACTTTTGAATGGTAGGTACTAGGACTTCTATATTTCATATATGTATTTTTTGTAGCAAGACCTTTTATTGGATACCAACAACTTTGACCTTTTGACCTTGACCTTGGAGATTTCCGTACTTATGAAAAAACTTTAACTTTGACCATAACTTTTGAATGGTAAGCCTTAGGGCTTTCATACTTCCTATTTATAATTCTTCTGAGAAAACCTTTCATTGAATACCAAGAACTTTGCCCCTTGGACCTTGACCTTTGAGTGTCGCCAACTTTTCA